TTCATCATCACTCATATTTGGCCAATACAAGGCATCGCGAGCCTTGTGAACACATGCTTCAGCTCCAAGATAGCTGGCATGAATTCGTTGAAGCTTTTCTGGTTTGAGAGCTGGGGGATTTCAACACGACAGCCTTTGTACAGAACACCATTCTGTACAGTTAATTCCTACCTGAAGTTCCAGAAATCTGTGATGCACACAGGCATTTCTTCTCGGAGTTCTGGCCATCCGGCAAGAACTGTTGATTTTGAAGCCTGTAAAGTTGTGTCTTGATCTGTTAAGCATTGAATCTGATCAAGTCTCTGATCAGTGACAGGAATGTACTCAGCTTCGACATCATAGTACCTGAGCACAGGAGTAATTGTGACCATTTTCATGATTTGTTCAAACATTTTTTCGTGTTGACTTTGCCAGCACCATACTGTGTCTTTATCAAGAAGATGTCTGAGAGGTTCAAGAAGACGTCTGAGAGGTTCACATATCTCGGAGAGACGGGGCAAGAATTTGGATAAGTACTAGTAGTTGATAAATCCAATAAAGAGTTGAACACTCTTTGCGTCTGTTGGAAGAGGCATGTCTGTGACTGCACACACCTTCTCTATGCCTGGTTTAAGACCCTCAGCTGTGATGAAGTGACCAAGGTAGGGTATTGCTGATTGTCGAAGATGTAGCTTAGACTTGTTTAGTTTCCGATTTGAGTTTCTGTCTCTCTCAAGTAGACTGATCAAGTTCTTGTCATGGTCCACATTGGCCTCGTCAAGTGTGTCATCACATCCATACACAAGAATATCATCATGGATTACCTCAACACCGGATAATCCTTCCAAGACTTCATGCCTACTTCTTTGGTATTCTTACTAAATGGCATATGTAACCAATGATAGCGGCCAAGGGGAGTCCAGATGGTAGTCAAGTAGCTGCTAACTTCATCAAGTTGGACTTGCCAGAATCCATCTATGGCATAAAGAGTCGAGATGCGGAAGAATTTCTTCAATGGTTGGAATCTGGGAGTGAGAGCATTTCAAGGCAACGTTCAAGTCCTTCGGATTTAAGCATATCCGAATCTTGCCTGGTTTCTTCACAACCACCATGCTGCTGATCCATTAAGTCGGTTCAGTTACTTGAGTAAGAACACCTTGCTCAACAAGTTCGCCGACTTTCTTTTTCACTTCTTGTTTCAGAGCAACTGCCATTCGTCAAGGTTGATGCTGTGACGGTTGGATCAATATTCAAGTGGTAAGTTCCAGGTAAGCAGCCACGACCTTGAAATACATCACCATAACTGTTCATTATCTGGGTGTATGTCAGCTGCTGAGACTGTACTTCACCAACACCGTAAACGCTGTCACTCAGACACATGAGATTCAAGACTCACATGTTTCTGCAGACAGAAGTGGTCTCTGTTACCCTTCAACAACTTGAAATTTCAGGATATGATTTTCACTATTGTTCACACACTCTATTGTTGCCTCGCCTTGAGATTTCATTATGGAATGGAGTTTGGCTCTACTTTTTGCCATAAGTGGATTTCCACGTTGAGCCAAATAGCAATAGTCATTGCAGATCAAGGTTGCAAGTTGTACCTGAATCGAGTTGACACATAAAATCAAGTCTCCATTCTTCACTAGGAACTCTCAAGTTTAAGTCCACAAACCATTGTTTTCCACGAGACTGCACAGAACCAACATCATGTGATACATAGTATGTTTGTCCATCTAAACTTTCATGTTCACCTTAACTTTCATCTTCACCAGAGTCTTCAAGATAGTTCACATGTCGTTTTTCTTGAATCTTATTTAAACAACTACTGCTGAAATGATGAAGTCTTTTGCAAAATGTACATCTCTTGTTTTAAGCTGGACATGACTGTCTGTCTTTTTGGTGCTGTCCACCACAAAATTTGCATTTGAAATGTAAATCTTTCTCACCATATCTGGGTTTGTCAGCATGGCCTTGTGACTCCCACTTCTGTTTCAGCACTTTCTTTTTCACTTGCTTAACTTTGTGAAGAGATTCGTCCCTGACGGATGTGATCTTCCGTAACTGATTCTCAGCGATTTCACTTGCTCTACATGTGTCAACTGCATGCTTGAGGTCAAGTTTGGACTCACGAAGCATCCATGCTCGTGCACCTGTATCTGTAGTGCCTAATACTATCCGATCCATGATGAGATCATCATGTAGAGTACCAAACTCACATGAGGAGGCAAGTTGACGGAGCTTACCGACGTACTGGTTCATGCTTTCTGAATTCTCTTGGATTGTGACCCGTGAAGATCCGGGGTAGAATAGGTCTTCAGCAACCTGTGCTTGCCACAAAAGGCGACTATGCTTGTCGTAAGAGGCGACTAATGGGATCGGGTGGTCAAGCTTGCTGACTTGGTTGACACGTCATCAGTTCCCAATTGCGCATATAGATGCTCATGCTGTTGATCACTGGATTGTCTGGTCCAGACTCGATTATTTACAGTCCGCTGCCATATAGCTGGAATATTGCTGAGTGTGGCATAAAATTAAACTCTCTCACTCACTCTTGGTTTGTCGTGTTGAATATAAAGTTCATAGATGACGTTCCTTGCTGGAAGAAAGTGTTTTTCCAATGCTTCGATGGTGATTTTGTTGTTCTTGTTTTTCCTTCATCATAAAGATTCAAGTGCTTTTGCACTCTAAAGCACTCTTTATCCATCAAACTCAATAAAGTTGCAACCATGATTTTGGCATCTTTTTTGATAATTTCAACAGCAACTGAATAATTTTCCCTCTGAGCACGAAAGAATGACCAGTTTACACCTAAATCTCCTTTAAAGTTCATAGGACGCTGGACGCCATTTTGAAGCACTTACGGTTGTCAAGATTGCACTGTTTAATGCAGATATCAGCTTAAAAGTTCATGTGATATATAGATCAAGTTGTCTAATATCATACAAAGCGATGTTTGAGTAAAAGAATCATCAAGTGTTTATGTTGCAAGACTTCTGTTGTATAGCTAATCTGCTGACGAAACCATGTGCGCGACTTCCGCAGACCTTAAGAATTGTAAACAGATTCGACACAGTCGTTTCCAGTTAAAGATGCTGCATCCAGGCGTGAAACCTTAGAGATGTTATAACTGGATGTCTCCGGTATTTCGTTGCAACAGCTTGGTCGTAGTTTTGTGCTTATACACCAAACTCGCCACTTCTGACACCATGTTCATGTCCGAGACCTTTATTCATCAATGGCCGCATCTCTCCAGACCCGGTTATGCATACACCCAGTCATCCAGCCAGACACATACAAAGCTAGGATCGTTACCAAACATGGAATAGGATTGATCTCGTAACACAGACTACATATTGACAAAGTGGCAGAAACATTGTACAGATGATAAGGATCATGAGTATTTACAGATTACATACCAACACAGGTTTGGAAAGTAAACAGTTGATAAGGCTGATGGATATTTTCCAGCATGTTTGAGGCATCATGACTGGCATTCATTGAATGTTCAGTCACCATTAATCGTGTAGTGTAGCAACGTAGGATAACTGCATACCCTGCTGCACCAGGGGCTGTTGGTTACGTCTCGATACCAAGTGTAAACAAAAGATGGATTGACAATGATATATAATTAAAGCAGTTGGATGGATTTTTCCATGAGATAGCATTGGCTGAAAATGACCGATACCTTTGGAAGAACAGCTTATTGAAAATGGGAGCAGATTGGTCATACCAAAAACTATACTACATAGTAATATAAACATTGAAATGTGATCAATCATGTCAATATGCTGAAGTTTGCATGTATCAAGCCAAAACCAGGGTTTGGAAAGAAATATAACTCAACAAATTGGTCACAATCAACAGATTAACAAAACACATTTTGTCCAACTTCCAGTCAACCAAATGTTGGTGCCAAATCATTAGGACAGAAATGGAAAGATCACTGGTTCCTGCTGAACTGATCTATCAATGTGTCTCATGTTTTGATTATTTGATAAGAGCTTACTTTTAATAAATGTGAGGACAAACTGCAGATTATGTAGCAATTGTTAGAACTTGGTTGCTTGAAGGACAAACTGCAGATTATGTAGCAATTGTTAGAACTTGGTTGCTTGAAGGACAAACTGCAGATTATGAAGCAATTGTTAGAACTTGGTTGCTTGAAGGACAAAATGCAGATTATGTAGCAATTGTTAGAACATGGTGCTTGAAGGACAAACTGCATAATTATGTTGCAATTGTTAGAACTCTGTGGCTTGAAAGACAAACTGCAGATTATGTAGCAATTGTTACAACTTGGTTGCTTGAAGGACAAACTGCAGATTATGTAGCAATTGTTAGAACTTGGTTGCTTGAAGGACAAACTGCAGATTATGAAGCAATTGTTAGAACTTGGTTGCTTGAAGGACAAAATGCAGATTATGTAGCAATTGTTAGAACATGGTGCTTGAAGGACAAACTGCATAATTATGTTGCAACTGTTAGAACTCTGTTGCTTGAAAGACAAACTGCAGATTATGTAGCAATTGTTAGAACTTGGTTGCTTGAAGGACAAACTGCAGATTATGAAGCAATTGTTAGAACTTGGTTGCTTGAAGGACAAACTGCAGATTATGTAGCAATTGTTAGAACATGGTGCTTGAAGGACAAACTGCATAATTATGTTGCAATTGTTAGAACTCTGTTGCTTGAAAGACAAACTGCAGATTATGTAGCAATTGTTAGAACATGGTGCTTGAAGGACAAACAAATGTTTGAATTGTATAATTTTCGATGATTTTGAGAACATCTGACATTCGGATGGTAGTAAAAATTGCATCACAGATGGATCTTGACTGTATGAAATTGTGTTATAATTCCTAAATTCATTATGAAAAATATAAACATCTTTTACCAAATAATTGACCTAATGTCAATGTACCAGTGTTAGTTGACATTTTTTGTTGGTGGTTACAAAAATGAAAACGCTACAATGCCATGACCATTCTACAGTTATTTTTTCTTTTTTCTTTCTTCAGATTTCCCTTGTGTTGTAAGTGGAGACACTGTGTTATTCATCAACCCCCATGTGAGGAATCTTGACAAAGTCTGCTATGTGAAGAAACTCAGCTCTCTTCCTATAGAGACCAGCCAGACCCTCCTCCAGGTCCTCCGCGGGACATTCAGCTTCACAGATGATGTAGCAGAAAGAGGATATTATGAAGGAACTATCTTTTGGTTCCCCCTCAGAAAAAGGGAGTCAGAGCTGTCAGACAATTGTTACAATGAGAAGAAAGTGATGGATCTCTTTCAGGCATTCAAGGCTGGAGCTTCCATTACCCTCTTATTCCTAAAGTCCATTGAGAAGATACAGTTGTACCGCAGGCTATCTGAAGCAACACTGAACATTGACTTCACAGTACAGCTTTCTACTGCCTGTCGCCAGCTAGTCAGAAATAAGAAAAACACTTTCATCAGTTCAGTAAAGCAGTTAAATGGAGAAATACCACCGTCATCAATAGAAAGCCAGCTTAACTTGACTGTGGAAATACAGGAAAGAGACATGTCTGCCCAGGAATGGATTGTTATAAACTTTTACAAAGGAGGATGTGTGAGTGAAAAGTTCAGACAACTGTGCAGTGATTCTAGCCTTTCCTACTCCCCCTATGTGGGTGTGGCGGTTCCTGTCAGTCAACAGTGTGAAGGTCATGTGTTCTGCTTCCTCCCACTTCCTCTGCAGAGTCACAGTCCCACAGGTCTGCCGGTTCATGTCAATGGCTTTTTTGCCTTGAGTCAGAATCGAAGACATGTCAAGTGGCCCACAGCAGATCAACTGCAGAATCAGTCACACACAGACAAAGCTATTGAGTGGAACAAGTGTCTCGTGAGTGAAGTGCTACCAGAGGTTTATTGTAACATTCTCAAATATATCATTCAGTACTCTCGAGAACAAGCAAATTCAGTCAAAATGAAGGAGCAGGTTTATAGAATGATACCAGCAGTTGCTGAAGTTGATGTGAACTGGAGGCCAGTCCTTTCACTGTTTCATGACCAGTTGTACCACAGCATACCATTCCTGTTCACTCCAGCCAAAAAGATTTGGATAAGACTGGAGGAAGGTGTCCTAGTGGATGAGACCAGTGAACTCCGGTCATTGATTATGGATATATTTACCTTGTACAACAGAAACATTGTGCCAGTACCATCAACACTATTAAAGACATTGCAAATTCAATTCAGCAAAGAGGTAAACATTGTGACAGAAAAAGCTATCTGTGAAACACTGAGATCAGGTGACAAATATACATCACTTCCAAGACCCACGAAGCTCACTCTTGTGCAACACCTCCTGGGGTCAGATCAGTATGAGCTCCTGAAGGACCTGTATCTGCTACCAGTTGCTGATGGAAGCTTTGCTCAGTTTGGGAAATGTGATGTTGTCATTTGTGACAGCCCAGCAGATGTTCAACTCTTTCCAGGTCTTAATCATCAGTTTGCTGAAACAGGCCTTCCTAGGGATTTACACAACCTCCTCAAGAAACGTGCACCTGATGGTAGGTTTAGCTGAATATATATTTCAAGCCAATAAGTCTTATGTTAATTTCATGCAATGTGGATAAAATTTCAGCCATCCCGGTTAGTTCCTGGTAAATTTGGTAAGAGTTGACTTGTTAAGTGTTGTGTAATTTGGGATAAGGATATGTCACTTGACTGATTGTGTATTATTGTGCCATGAATGGTGATCATCCTTTCAGTTACCGACACTTACAGTCAATCAAGTAAATGTCCCTGTGAAATAACTTGAACACTACTGACTTCAGTGTAAAACACTCAGTCATATGATATGTGTACCTCAGTGTACAGCCAGTCTTCCATTTTAATGTTCCACATCGATTATGCTTAACTGGATGGATTAATCGAGGCCTGGTTGGTCAAGTGTCTCTGGTGAGTTATTACCCCACATACACAAGTATTCAGGTGCCCGTAGATGATGATCTCGCAGTCATGGTCAACATACTCACTCAGCCACTGGGCAACTTCCTCTATGGCTGTTGACTTATCACATCTTTAACATGCAACATTATCTATATGAGTTGTTTTGTTGGCAGTATGCAGTTACTGTGTTTTTCACCAACAAGTTTGCGCCACAGATAGTCTACCAGTTTTAGCCAGCTTATCACATTTAGCTATAATGTCATAGACAGAGAGCTGATGTATGACTATTTGTTTGTCAGTGAAAGTTTCTACTAAGGCGTGATATGTCCAACATTTTATTGTATTCTATATTTGTATTTTTGTTGCACAGTCTTCAATGTTCCAAGCTAAAAGTTTAAGATCGGGATAGGAACAAGAAAATTTTGAGCCTGTTCCATAATCAATGTCAGATTCAGGGGCCAGACCATCTCTCTAGCTATTACAGTCATCCCTCGCCATAATGTGGGTCTTGGGGTTCATGGATGACCCCCCACATTATTAGACACCCGCGTTATAGTAACTATTACATAACGCGGAACAAAGGCCAAGTAAAATTGTATTCTCCATGGACATAACAAAACTTCTATTTCGTGTTTGTGCCCAGTCAAAACTATATCGAATTGTTGGAGGTGAAAAAAACAAACTTTGTAAATGAAAATAGATGTATGTACAGGAAACTTGCAATCAAACATCACAAGACATGATAATTGCATTGTTGTTCCTGTCATGCTATCTGTTATTCAACTAAGCCGGAAATAGCAATCAGCTGTGCACAGATGTTTTGGTCCAATGTACTGGTTATTCAGTTAAAAACGATCGGAAAATATAACATCAAAGGATTTCTATTCTATTATCAGAATAATTCATTTGTCAAGCAGTTATTCTAACAGAGATCTTATATATTGCTATCGTATAAGTATAATGCATGTTTTCTATGAACATATTTAACATAATAATTAGCATTGCTAAGCACTTTGGGTTACCTGGCTGGATACATTTTATGTAGGAGACAGTTTGAGAAGTCACCGCTGACTTCCCACGGTACGTGCCACTTTTATTGTAAAAACAAAATGTTGGCAATTAATTGTCAAAAATGACTTCAATGGGTCAATAATGCGGGTCTTGGGGTCAATGGATGACGAGGCTGTAATCTGTTTGTGATTGCTGAAAAACATGTGAAATTGGTGCTATCGCGGTAGGCGCGAAAAATGGACCCTCACGAATGTGGTAAGCAGACGTTGTATGGAATGAGGTAATGCCATTTCACTCACGGTTTCTCCGTTGTTATTGTAAACAGTTTTAATGAATGCAAATGGGATTGAATTTAATCAAATAAAATGTGATTTCTGACATCACACATTCTCGAATGGCGGTATTTACCCGCGCAGTTATGCGGTGTATTGCATCACAGCAAACGTTGTAAGTACTCGACTGATGGCATGTCTTTATGATAAAGTTATTACGTATTTCACTGGTCATCTATTATTATTGAAAAAACCCTGCATATTTTAAGCATCTGAAAAACCATGGATATGTACGATAAACACTGTTAATTGCAATCCGCACTGAATTTCACTAGTTTACAATGTGATTAACCAGAGCTCAACGGCGGATTTGTTGTTGTGCTATTTTCGATGACGTGAATATGTGTGATCACTGGGCAACTTTGGGGAGTCACGGATTACCCCGCGGTTTAACCAAATCCGCAGTATTATTGCGAGGGATGACTGTATTCATTGCTACCCTGTTGCAAGGAGCAGAAGGTGGGGTAGCAGGTCCTGTCTGGGGCAAAAGGATTCATTGTATTATGAACTTACCACCCCAAATGTAGTCAGCAGTCATGAGGTCAAAACACAAGAGGAATATTGTTGTTTTGTTATCAATGTCACGGACTCAGTAATTCTGTTCTCAAGAAACATTTATCAAACAAATTGTCACTCTTTACTCAACAGAGTCGGGAAGGTGTTAGCATGAAAGCTGCATTTCACTGTAAACTATGCTGCTTCAATGGTTGTTTTGATTTCAAATTAACAAAAGTTATAGAATACATTCCCAGATATGTTAAGAACTGGGTTCATGCATGTCATCATATCCCGAATGTGTGTTCAATGCTCATGATGTCACTCCCCAGATTGTCTGGCAGAATATTTACAGACAGTCATCTTAAGCTGGAAAATTGCTGAGTGCGGTGCTAATCAAAGAAGAAAAAATGAGATCAGAATGAAATATTCACTGGTACTGAACTTTAGACAAAGAATTAATGACATTAGGTCACTTTGATGATGTCATGTTAGCTATAACAAAAGGAGAATGAATGCTCTCAAAATAATGAAGCTGTCAACAATATTTTTATTCATTAAGAATATAGGCATATAATACCAAAACAACTTAAATGACAGTAAAAAAATTCTAAAAAAGGTATGGCAAGTTTTTGCTGATCCGTGGATTTCCGTCGATTTTATTTCAAATTGATCAATTCTGTGAGTTGTCAAAATCCGTTGAATCCCTCTCAACCCCCCATTTGATGACACCCTAGATAGCATTCGGACGTTGGCCCAACATTGGCAATGTTGGCAAAACCATTGCCAACGTTGGGCCAACGTCTGAATGCTATCTGGGACAATAGTAAGTTTTCAGCTGAAAATAGATTTTCCTGTTGCCATTCCTGCAAAAAAAAATAATATAATTTTCATGAAGTATGTAAAATTAAAAATAACATATTCGTGAGAGGTAAGAATAGTTACCACTTGTCATTGTTTCTTTCTTACAGGAGTCCTTGGGCTGTCTGTGATGACCCCTGCCATAGTTCCAGGGCTACTACGCAAATGTCTACACAAGCATTTTCCTGGAGGTAATGCTGAACTTCCTTCTCAGTATTTGAACCTGAGCTGGCTGGAACAAGTGTGGACCTACATTAAAGATCAGGAGATAAATGCCCAGTCCACATTCAGAGAACTGAAGATCTTGCCTGATGTTAACAGCTCTGGGAGAGGCAAACTACACAGCTTTGATAATGTGTTCATAGCCCAGTCCGTCCCAAACATGGAATCACTGCCACCAAATGTGGGCAGTGCACTGCAGAAGTTAGATATTATCCATCTGAAGTATGTCCCTGACTTTGTTCTTCAAAATCCACATGTCTTTGGGAAAGTTATCAAATACCCAACACAAGCTGGTGTTATGAGTGCTTTGGAGAAACTTTCAGAACACGCAGGCCTAAACACAGCTGTACAGAAGTTCAACTCCATGGCTCAGAAACAGGAGAGAAAGGCCTTGGTGGATTTCATGAGCCGCTGTCAGATGTCTGAAAAGACCATGGTGGTTTTGAGGAAGTTGGCAATATTCACAGTTACAGACGGCAGTGACTGTAGTGTGGAATCTCAGTTGACACTTGCACCTGATAAGAAAATACCAGTACCATATCCTGAGCAATACATGCAGTGTTCATCCCATACAGTTAAGAAGCTGGCTCTGAAACTTGGTGTACCACAGGGGTCCTTTCTTGATGTCTGTCAACAGATCCTTAACCGGATGCTTCACAAATTATACACAAATGATCAAATCACAGATTTTGTAGAGTTTCTTATGAAAAGTCATCAACAGATCATAGAAAAAACAAAAGAGGTTGTTTCACAGATAGAATATTTGTCATCTAGAAATGGAAGAGATGGCTTGAGAGCATGTGATCTCTTTAGTCCTGACAATGATTTCCTTAGAAAACTGTTTTGTATGGAGGACAAGTTCCCAACCCAGAGACATACAAGGACAGACACACTGAAGAAAGGTCTAAAAACTATTGGTCTTAAAACAGAGGAAGGTGTTACAGAAGGTGACATTGTGACATCTGCAAGGAAAATTGAAGAGTTGGTTCACACTGGCAAGAGTTCTGATGCAGAAGTGAAAGCATCAGCACTGACCAAGTGCCTAGAAAGAAACTGGAAAAGATACTCTCTACCATTGCTTTCTGAACTCAAAGTGAAGAGATGCATTCCATGTTTGCAGCTAAAACCGGCCACATATCCTCCTTCTTTGACATGGAAAGGACATTTAAGTGGTCCTCTTTTGTGTTCAGAGGATGTCTACAGTTCCAAATATTCATCAGTTATTGGATCTGTTTGTCCAGTTGCAAGTGCCATGCCTGAAAGTGTTGAGCCTATTTTAGGACTGAGCAGACATCCAAAACCACATCAAGTAATACAACATCTGAAAAATATGGGGAGTGTCTACAAGAGTAGAGAACATAACCTCTACATGGACTTTTTGGAGAACATTTATAACTTCCTACAATCCCAGTGTTTGTCGGAAACAGACAAGGAGATGTTGGCATGTACACAATGTGTCTGGGTAGGAGTCGAAGATGGATTCCAGTATCCAAAGTCAGTCTACATACCGAAGTCAAGTGACTTGGATCTGAAACCGTACAAATTTCCTCTGCCATCTCTGCTGAGTAACTGGAGTTCATTACTCCAAGACTGTGGGTGTCACCAGAGTCAAACACCTCACATGTTAACTGGTGTCCTGGAAGAAATAAAAGAAAAGCATGATGGTTTCAAAACTTCAAACACAAAGAGACCAATTGATGTACAGAACGACCTGAAACTTATTCTGCAGATTCTTAATGAACTGAAAAATTTTCAACCACGACCTGACAGAGTTTACCTTCCAGTCCATCAGAAAAATGATGAGTTTCTTATCCTGCTTCCAGCAGAACAGTGTACCTACTGCAATGCAGAGTGGCTCAAGGATCAGACCTCTGATGACGCAGAGGGTGAGGATGATGAAATATGGTTTGTCCATTCGAACATATCTGAGAATACAGCACAACAACTTGGTGTGTGTTCCTTGACTGAGCGTGTAATGGATGACACTGATGACTTTAATATGGAGTATCATCAGTCAGAACCCTTGACTCGCAGGCTTAAGAATTTGCTTCATGAATACACGGATGGATTTTCCGTCCCAAAAGAACTGATACAGAATGCAGATGATGCAGGGGCTACAGAAGTTTGCTTCATGTATGATGAGAGACAGAATCAAGATGCAAGAACATCACTTATGAATGAGAATATGGCTGCACTCCAGGGTCCTGCATTTTGGGCTTATAATAATTCAAGCTTCAAAGAGAGTGACTTCAACAACATACAGAAACTCAGTGGAGCAACAAAGGAAGAGGACACAACCAAAGTAGGCAAGTTTGGATTAGGATTCAACTCTGTCTACAATCTAACAGATGTTCCAAGTTTCATAAGCTTGAACAATATAGTGATATTTGACCCACACGAGAAGCATTTGGGGAAGCCAGGATTGAGAGCCAACTTGAAGAGTGTTAAAAATAGCAAAATGTTGCGAAAAATGGGTGGCCAATTCAAGCCTTTTGAGGGAATATTTGGTTGCCGGTTCAAAAGACAAGCACCTAGTGAGCCAATATGTGATGGCACTCTTTTTAGGTTCCCTTTGAGAACACAAGATCAAGCGTCTGAAAGTGAAATAAAGGACTTGTCCTATTCAGCACATGAAATGGGGGAATTTTTCAAAAAGTTTGCTGAAAGTTCTGGAAATCTTCTCCTTTTCACACAGAAAGTCTCATGTGTCAAGTTTTATCATCTACCACCTAATGGAGACCCTGATCATCCTAAACTACTTCTCCATGTGAAGAAAACAATTCAAAACCAAACAATCCTGTACCCTGTTGGATCATCATTGACTGGACACAGCGTCTTGTCATATGCAGCAGGGGCGTGGAGAAATCAACCAAGTGAGGGTCTCAAGATAAGAGAGAGAACTGATATCCATCTCCAAATATTCAATGCTGGTATGACAAGGAAGCTGAAGCTTGTGGTTGGTGTAAACACTATTCGCTGGCTCATTATGTGGGCTACAGGTCAGAGGGAGTCTGGAATCTTTGCTCGTTCAGGAAAGCTGAAAGGATTGCTCCCATTAGCAGCTGTTGCCCTGCCACTGAAGATGGAAGATGGACGAAATGGTGTTTATGAAATGAAAGAATGCCCAACAGGATTCTACAAAGAAGGACACTATTTCTGTTTTTTACCGTTACCAGTGCATGTTCCATTTCCAGTTCACATCAATGCCACATTTGCTCTCACATCTGACAGAAGACAGCTGTGTACTCAGACTGAAGACGACAAAGAGCTCTATGAAGCTGTTTGGAACCAAGTGTTGAAACAAGATGCAGTTTGCAGATCTTATGTATCTGCACTGGTTGAGATGCCAGTTGACCTTCAATCTGATGTATACTCTTTCTATAAGCTATGGCCACATACATGTCAAACTGAGGATCCCATGGTAAAAAGTTTCTATCAAGTAGTTGCTCAGGAAGATGCACAAGTGTTCCTTTTCCCTCATGATGGTACAGTCAAGAGAACAAGTTTTCAAAGAATCAGATTTCTTAACCGAACCCTTCACTCTGATGGAGTTGTAGGAAACATAGCATTCAAAGCAGCTGTGCACTTCTGGAACAATACAGACAAAGATATTGTTGATGTCCCTGGCAGGATTTTAGATAGCTTCAAAGCTGCAGATCTCTCAAATGAATTAGAATCGAGATGTATGTCAACCTTTGAATTTTTTTCAACTGTTTTCTTTCCCAATATTTGTGATGAATATTGGACAAAAGAAGACAGGGATAAGCTAACAATATATGCCTTGAACTTGCAAGATTCTGATATCCATAACCTGATGAAAGCAACAGCATGTGTTCCATCACGTCCTCATGGTGTGCTGAAACAGCCGGGACAACTTGTACACCCACATGGAAAGTGTGCAGCAATGTTTTTGGATGAGGATGAATGTTTTCCAACAGGAACAAGTTTACATGGTTTCACAGAACCACGTCTACTAGAAATACTCTGTAAGCTAGGAATGGTAAGGGATGATCTCCCAGGTGAGTCTCTGCTTGAGAGAGCTCAGTCAGTGGCCAGTCTTCACCAGAGGAAACCACAGGAAGCAGTGAAAAGATGCTGGAAGATTGTTGGCTACATTTCAGAGACTGATTACTCCAGTAGACAGCTGGTGAAGAAGCAGCGTATTGCTGAGTACACTGAAGAAGTCATACAACACCTAAAAAAAATTCCCTTCTTGCCTATGTTGCAGCATCCGGCAACATGGCTACTGTCATGGAAAGCAGATGAAATTCCACACCAGGTCTTTGCTAAAGCCAGTGAAATGTTTAGCAGCAAGGTTTTGAATTTGGTGGGCTGCTCAAAACTTGTCATTGATTCCAGTTACCCTGGTTACTCGAGAAATGAAGAAGATGTGTTAACACTGATTGGGCTGCGTCACAAAGATGAAATTGATATTGATACAGCAGCAAGACAACTTTTGTATGTTGCTGAGAAGATCAACTGTACAACAAAACCATCATTACTCAAGCAATTAAGTGACATGTGTTTTGAAATATATTCTTACTTGAAACATTGGTATGAAGAAACAGAAAGTGAAGATAATATTGAACACAGAACCACTACACTTGAAGTGCTTGGAAAGGAGTGTGTCATATTAGTTGGTGAACGAATGGTGCGACCTCGTCAGGTAGCTTTTCGGTTATCCCAGGATCTGTCTCCTCATCTGTATCAAGTTGCCACAAGCCATACTAAGATATTTAGACAGCTATTTGAAGTTTTAGGAGTGAAAGATAGCTTTGATATTCAAGACATTTTAGCTGTTGTTCAATCTATCTCTGATGATACTGGCCTGGAGAAGCTCACCAATGAAAATCTTTCATGCATTGAGAGACTGATGAATGCTTTGATTGACATCTTACCAGAACCGTATGGCAAGAGTGAAATACTGGAGATAATGCTTCCAGACAGACATGGTTTTCTGTATGAGGCATCATCACTTTGTTTGGATGACTGTGATTGGGTTGATGAAGATGATACCATGACGTTTCTTCACCCTAAAATCCATCCAGTGGCAGCTAGATGGTTAGGAGTAAAAGGGAAAAGAGAGGCTGACCTTTGTGACCATATTTCATCAATTGAATCTTTTGGACAAAGTGAAAAACTCACTTCCAGAATAAAGAGAATCCTATCTGGCTATCCCTGTGATGTTTCAATAATGAAGGAGTTGCTACAGAATGCTGATGATGCTGGAGCCACAGTACTGATGTTTATCAAAGACTTTAGGTCTCTCCCAACAACTCAAGTATTTGGTGAAAACTGGTCCTCTCTGCAGGGTCCTGCTCTGTGCGTCTACAATGACAGCTTCTTTACAGATGCAGATTTTGCTGGCATTAAGAATCTTGGTCAAGGTAGTAAAGGGGATGACCCATTGAAAACTGGACAGTATGGGGTTGGTTTCAACGCAGTTTACCACCTGACTGACGTACCTTCCTTCATGACGGTTGGTCCAACTACAAACAAAACTATCTGTGCCCTGGATCCGCATGTCAAGTATGTTCCATGGGCCACATGCAAAAATCCAGGTGTAAAAATACAAAATCTTGATAAATTAAGAGTGAAGTATAAAGATGCATTTGAGGGTTACCTTGAAGAATGTGTCCCGCTGCAAAAAAAAGGGACACTCTTTCGATTTCCTCTGAGAACAGTGGCTATGGCTGAGGATTCCATAATTTCAAACAAGGAAATAACAACAGACATGATAACAGATCTTCTTGAGGAGTTCAAGAAAGATATGTTTGATTCTCTTCTATTTCTTCATAATGTGAAAAAGATAGTAATTGCAAGTATATCAGCAGATGGAGAATTGTCAAAAGAATATTCACTTGAATCGAAAATGACAGAAGGAGATGCAGAAGAACAAAAGCAGTTTATGGAAGACTTAAGAAGCCAAGCTGTAGCAAGAAAACACCTTCCTGCATTAACACCCTTGGAACTGAAGCTGTCACTCGAGGTACAAGATTCTATAGGCAATAAGCAGCAGTGGTTAGTTGTTCATAGAAGTGGATTTACCAGTGACAAAGATATTCCCGCCTCTGTCTCTTCAGCCTGGGAGAGAGGCGACATTGGTCTACTTCCAAGAGGGGGCATTGCAGTACCAATACCAACCAAGTCAGCCCATTCTGGATCAGGAATTGTAGGGAAAGCATTTTGTATCCTACCTCTACCAGTGTCGACTGGCCTACCTGTACATGTAAATGGCCACTTTGCTCTAGACCATGAAGCAAGAAGAAACTTGTGGCATGGGTCACAAGACCACAGGTCTGACTGGAACAAACACATAGTGGAGGCTATAGTCATTCCAGCATATCTATCAGCAATGGAAACAATGAAAACCAAGATGTCCTGCACACAAGAATTTCAAGTAAAGGTACTTCAACAGAATCTTAAAGGTTATTATCTGTTTTTGCCAGATATTTCAAAAGCAACAGATAGTTTCTGGAAGTCCATGGCCATGAGTATCTACACAGACATAGTACAAAAGAAGAGCAATTTATTTGGTGTCATTAAACCAGTACATGGGAAATTCTCTGATCATCCTGAAGGCAGAACATGTGACATTATAGCCAGTGTGAATTGGGTATCAGTGACCAGTGACGTTGGGTTTGCAGGTTATTTTAATGACTTGGGGTCTTACTACCAGATTGAGCGGTCACATTTCTTTAGACAGTTCCAATCTCCAGCATCATCCCGGAAGATGTATGATGCAACAGCAAGGAGAAACACACAAAAACTGAGTGAAGTTTTGCGGGATCTCAACATGAAGGTCATTGATGCTCCATTTCAAATCTATGGTCAATTTCAAGAAGCAAACCTGTCAGACAAAGTTAGCTGTGTAACACCTGAAAAAACTCTCCAGTTTTTGAAATCATATGCTGATGAAAGTGATGATAAATGCACACTAGGGACATTGCCAAGACTGGTTGATGAAACGCCATACAAATCAGTTGCAACCTTGAAACTTCTAACTTGGTTCATTGTAAGAGCAGATTCGTTTGCTTCAGAAATCTGTGGCCTTCCATTGGCAATGACCATCTCCAGAAAGGTGGCAGTGTTCAGCAGTAGTGAACCACTGATTGTGACAAGTTTTACTGACTTACTAACATCTGTACCAGATGTTGCACTTCATCCTGAGATAGCTGGCCTCTATATGGAACATATCACACAATCATCTTCTCTGATGGATATGGAGATTGGAAAGTTTGCATCGATGCTTCCATGCATCCTGGTTCGCCAAAAATTTGCATGCAAATCTTTGATACCATGGCAACAGAATCCTGATTTTCCCTCACATCAATGGATAGCTCGTTTATGGCAGTATCTTAACAAAGAGATCAAGAAGATTTCCGAAAAAAACAAAACTGAGGGATGGTTAAGAAATCAGTTGGAACCATTGTCAACATGGTGTTTATTGCCTGCAAGGAGAGATACCTTCAACTTCTTTCTCTGTTCCATCAAAGATTCTTCTAAAATTATTGACCTGGACAGTGTCACAGAAATGACATGTGCTAGAGCTCTGAGAAAAGTAAAAATTCTTCATTTTGATCAGACTATGTTCAATTGTGAGAAGTTCAAAAACGTCAGAACTGTTGAACTTGTTCCGAACTTAGTGTCAAACTGGAAAAACCCTGATGCAGTTCTCTTTGCTCTCTCAGCAGTAGACTTTTCAGAATGTGAATCACTGTCTGAAATAGAAGCAGAGTCATTCTTGTCCTATTTTTGTAAGAATTTAGACAGTTTGGAGCAGTCACAAGGCTTTCTCAGCTTAAAGGACGGGTTAAAGAGTTTGCCATTTTACCCTACAGTGATAGGTCGACTGGTGCCCTTAGCAGGGGATGTGTATGCAGTGAAATCCTCATACAAGCTGCCAAAGACTTGCCTGGAACACTGGAGTACAGTGACAGGGACAACTCTTCTCAGGTACAATGAACTATTAAAGACACTGATCGAGTACCTCGGGGTACCAGCACTGACACTGACAGAAGTGTACGCCAGTTTACTGATTCCATCCTTCCATCATTTCCCAGGGAGTGCAAAACCTGTCCATCTTAAATTCATTAAAGAATCGCTTCTGCAGAAATCTGAGACGTACAGTAATGAGCAATTGCAGTTGATAGAGCAGTTGAAAAGATTGAAGTTCATTGAAACAAGTGATGGAGAGCTTCACAGAGCGGAAGAATTTTACAATAGGAACGAGGTTGTATTTGCCACAATGTGTCGTGTTTCTGCCTTTCCTCCTGACCCATACAACAAACGTGAATGGTACAATTTTCTTGTCCTCATTGGTCTTCAAGCAGTTGTCAGTGTTCATCAATTTGTAAACTTTGCAAAAGAAGTCGAGAGATTAGGGTTGGGAGGAATTTCCATAGATGTTGCAAAGAAATCTGCAGTTCTTATTCAGCATCTTTGTAGGAGACCTGAAAAGAAACAGGAAGGTATCCTGGGTAGAGTAAAGGCCATCAAGTTTCTTCTGCCGTATGTAGTGGATAAAGAGCATGAAACTGGTACTATCTTGACCCAAATCCACCCCCAGTTTCAAGCTGCCAAGTCTCTGGTTTGCTTTTCTGAATCACTTAGACCACAACATTGCTATTGTGTCTGGACCAGTTGCACAATGTTCCGCACAGAAGACGATCCATCTGAATCAGAATATGGAGACAACAAGAAGATTATTCATTCACAGCTTGGGATACCAGATTCTCCTCCAGCAAATATAGTTGTTCAACATGTACTGAACATGTGCACCTCATTGACAGAGATGCAGAAAAAACTACCAATCCAAAGTAAAGATATTGTTGAATCTTTGAAGAAAGTGATGAAAGCTGTGTATGAATATTTACAAGACAATGGAATTTCAGATACAATAAAGGAAAAATTGACTGCCATCTGCACTATATATTTACCAGAAAAAAGAATCTTTGTAGCTGCAGATGAAGTAGTTACACAACTCAGCGTGGAAGAAGTTATAGATGGTTATGTCTACTCAGGTCCACTAAGTTTTGGTGAGTTTTTCCCTGTGTTTGAAGCACTAGGAGCAGCAAAAACAGCTTCAGCAAACACATTTGCTTGTGCATTGCAGAAACTACAAGGTCAAGTTGGAAACGAGGAGTTGAATCCAAATGAATTACTTGTTGTCAAAACTGCACTGAATTTGTTATTCAAGAAGTATCTTCGTAATAACACTGGTAGAAGTCTTGATCTCTGTTCACTGTTTCTACCAAATTGTGACAACGTCATGACTCTGTCAACAAAACTAGTATTTTCTGACAACAGGACATTGAGGCAAAGGGTGAAAAAGTTGAAACTGAACTTCTTTGTAGGATTCAGAAAGTTGGAGATTGATGTAGTAAATCATTTGCAAACCATTTTGCTCCTTCCACCAGAACACAGACCCACAATACTGAGTAAGGTCATTAAGGAAAAACTGACAGATACATGTACTGGATCAGCATGTAAAGGTAGCATTTCATCCAAGATTCTGACTGTGATCCAGACACCTGAATTCATATCAGGACTTGTACGACTTGTCAACCATGAGAAAATCATGAAGGAATTAAGACCACTAGAAAGAGCAGACTGTGAGAAACTTGAACATAATTTGTCGAATATTGAGCTCTTTGAAGTTGAGCGTCTGGAAACTTGTATTATCTATGATGGAAATATTGTTGAAGGCAGTGAATCTACCAAGACATGTTTTACTGATAAGGAACAACAGTCACTGTGCATGTACATTTCTACAAATGCTATGACTAAAGATGAAGATTCTGTATATTCCAATTTGTCCTTTGCCATCAATGCACTAACAGGGGGCCATCTAAGAGAAAGTGTTGCAACACTTTTGGGACTGTTAAAATGTGAGCCACAGATGATACATGAGATACTAGATACGTGCAACATCACTGGTTTTGATTATACCTCTAGTCCATTGTACCGAACTGTATTCCCACCACCAGGTACAATCATCCCTGAGAAGTTCCACTTCATGTTAGACAACAGTTTTTCCTATTTCAAGGAAGGGGAGTATGCAGGTTATGAAGTGTATGATCCTCTGATTGATGATGAAGGTGATGACCTCACTGGGGAGATGGAAGCTGGAGATGTCTTCATAGTGTATGTGATTATAAAGAAAGTTGTAACATTGGGAGAAACTCCTCTCCAAGCCAGATACATTATTGAAGCAAAAGACGGGACCAAAAAGGAAGTTTGTGCCACTCAGCTTTACATGTTTTTCAGAGATACAGAAGATGGGATGATAGAAAGAAGCACTGTATCACCAGACTCAACCTTTGAAGTTCCACTAGCCTTGGAGGATGTTTTGAGAGAAATTCGAAACACTTTGAGGGAAGCCTGGGCTATGCTTGGTGAGAGGGATAGGAACAGGGTGAAGAAACGTTTGTATTTCAAGTGGCATCCTGACAAAAATCCAGACCGAATTGATTTCTGCAATGAAGTCTGCAAGTATATTGGTATATACATTGAAAGACTGGAGAAGGGACTAACCATTGATGATATTCATGACGAAACTGGTGGAGGCAGTTCAACAGATTATTCATGGTTCCACCGGTTTAATGCCAGAACTTCAAGACACAGATCATATCAGAGGGAGTATCAACACTCTCACCGTCACTTCAGGGGAGGCAGCTATGGATCTGGATCTGGTTCTGGTTCTGGTTCTGGTTCTGGATCTGGATCTGGATCTGGATATGGATATGAATCTGGCTCCTACCACCAGTCTACAGGAAATCCTGATCTATCAGAAGCGAGGAGGTGGCTGCGTCAAGCCAAGGCAGATCTAGATGCTGGTAGAGAAGCCTTGGGTTCGTCAATGGCGTACAACTGGATCTGTTTTATGGGTCAACAGGTAAGTTATAGATTGTTCAGATAGTGATTCAATCTCATTGATCTTTCTGTGTGAAAATAGGTACCCAGCCGCCAAGGTCCCCCACAAGATATTGGCTGCTGAGACTCAGTGACTTGGTCAGTTGTGTGTCCTCATACCCTGATAACATGATCACACCTCATGGTATGGAAGCTTGATCACACCCTCATGGTATGGAAGCTTGATCATGTCCTCATGGTATGGAATCTTGATCACACCTCATGGTATGGAAGCTTGATCACACCCTCATGGTATGGAAGCTTGATCACGCCTCATGGTACGGAAGCTTGATCACGCTCTCATGGTATGGAAGCTTGATCACGCCTCAGGGTATGGTAGCTTGATCACACCCTCATGGTATGGAAGCTTGATCACACCTCAGGGTATGGAAGCTTGATCACACTCTCATGGTATGGAAGCTTGATCACACCTCAGGGTATGGTAGCTTGATCACACCCTCATGGTATGGAAGCTTGATCACGCTCTCATGGTATGGAAGCTTGATCACACCTCAGGGTATGGTAGCTTGATCACACCCTCATGGTATGGAAGCTTGATCACGCTCTCATGGTATGGAAGCTTGATGTTATGTTATGTCATCTATATCCGCGCGTGAGCATGTGATATGATTACGTCATAACTCAGTGGTTAAACTGTGCAGAACTATGATGTTTCGTGTGTTCATTCAAACAACAGTGGCAATGAGGATAAAAGTTGGAATTCCTACGTATTGGAAGTGCTAAGTACGTTTGCTAATAGATATTGCATCGCTAGCAGTGAAAGTTAAAGTTAGACACTGAAAAACGCATATATATGCCGAAAGAGTGCAGTTATTCTTTGATGCTAATGTAGTTATTGTTGCTCGTCGAGTTCCAGGATTTTTGTCCATAACTGGAAGTAAGACTTATGCAGTGCTTAAATTGTTGACCACACCAGCTAGACCAGAAGATCGGACTCTTGATCGGCTAGTGACTGTGTTACAGAATCATTTCACACTTGTGATAGCAGAGAGGAACAGATTTCACAAGAGAATGCAAGCAGATGGTGAGACTATTTCTCAATATTCTGTGGTTTTGAGGGGACTTACACAGATCAGTTTGAAGACACTTTGAATGAACGTTTACGAGACCAGTTAGTGCTCGCATTGAAATCTACGTCTATTCAACGGAAATTACTTGCAGAAAATGACCGGACACTTGAACGTGCACTTGCTATCGCAAGTTCTATGGAATTAGCAGTGAAGGATTGTGAGGAACTAAACTGAGGTTTTCACAGTTTGAAGGGAATTACTGCTTCAGATGTCTATGTTTTTAACAGCAAATCTAAAAATTCCAGCAATGAATGATGTTTCCTATGTGGAAGTGTTTTTCATCTAGCTAACACTTGTAAGCATAAAGACGCTGTGTGTTTGAACTGTAACAAGCACGGCCATTTGCAGTCAGTGTGTAGGGGTCAGAGGTCAGGTCATGACACAGGTTCAAGTTCACGACCTTCACTTTTCGGGAGTGGCGGGGTAAACAAACATGGCGGTGCAAACAATTCAAGGAATTCTCGTGTGAAAGCAATTGACACAGTAGATGACAGTAAACTGTATCCTGATGATCTTGCGTATTGTTTGAGCCATATGTATGGATAAGAGTTCCGCCCGGTCCCCCCTCTCAAAAACCTAAAACTCATATAACACACTAAATATACGGTCATTAAAGTGTACAAGGTCTAAAAAACAATACATGATGTTCAATAACTGCCAGTCCTGTATTCAGCCTCGGGAATCGAACACTAGTCAGTATACTTAGCGGTCTGCGTACCATCATCGCCATATGCAAGCTGTAGTCCCTACGACTGATTTTTAAACATAGAAAACACATCGTACCTCTACTGAGCACCTGAATAAATCGAGCCGATGTCCTCCATTAATGATACGAAAAATCCTTCTCACAACTGCACCTGTACATATACTCCTACAGGTGCAGTGCAAAATCATTCCGGCCGATGACAGTTGCCGTTTGATACACCACCACCGGTTCTGAATGAGGTTGGTGCATGCACCGGTGGTGGGACATTAAATCAAATGGCTTATTTTAGTTGCATATCATGAAGGGTGATATAGTATGCTGTATACATTTACCTTTGAAGTTTTAGATGATATGCAATTCGAGTTGGATACCGGCTCGAGACATTCGATCATCAATGAGATGACTTATGGAGAGAAGTTCAAAGGATGCGAATTACGGAAGCCGGAAATACCTATGAAGACTTACACAGGTGAATGTGCCCTTGATTTTGGAATAATGAAAGTTAAGGTTGCAAATGGCAAAGACGTACACAAACTTGATTTAGACATTCTGAATGGGAGGGACCATCCCTGCTTGGTAGAACATGGCTGCCATTTGTTGACATTGACTGGAAACGTTTTGGAGATGATATTCACTATTGCAAGGATGACAAGAGTGATAGACAAATTCAAGAATTATCGGTGAAATACTGTGATGTTTTCTCAGATCAGATTGGTACAATTAAGGATATCAAAGCTCACTTGTCCTTAAAAGATGGTGTGTCTCCAAGATTCATGAAGAGAGGGTAAATGAGGAAATAGATAGGATGGAGAAAAATGGTGTGTTAGTCAAATTGATCACAGTGAGTGGGCAACTCACATAGTGCCAGTGATCAAAAGTGATTCAAGTGTAAGGATATGTGGGGATTTCAAATCCATGGTGAATCCAGTACTTAACATTAGCAAGTACCCACTACACAAAATTGAAGATCTGTTTGCCACACTTGCAGGAGGGCAGACATTTTCTAAAATAGACCTTGCCCATGCCTATCAACAAATGGAAGTTCATGCTGATTGTCAGAAGTACCTGAGAATCAACACACCTAGGGGTTTTTCAGATACACAAGACTAGCATTTGGTATCGCATCAGCTCCAGCGATATTTCAGGCAACCATGGACCAAGTGTTGCAAGGACTTGATAAAGTTTTGTGTCATCAAGATGATATTTTGGTGGCCGGTGCAAATGATAAGGAACATTTCAGAAACCTTGAACAGGTGTTGAAGAGATTGCAGGAATATGGTTTGAGAGTCAAAAAGCAGAAATGTAAATTCTTTGTTCACTCTGTGAAGTACTTGGGACACGTGATTGACAGAAATGGCTTGCATACAAGTCAGGACAAAGTCGTACAAGATGCACCAAGACCGGAAAATGTATCTCAGCTTCGTTCCTTCTTGGGTTCAGTGAACTATTATGGGCATTTCATGGGAAATTTGTCAACAGTTTTTCACCCCTTGAATGACCTGTTTAAAGGTCACATGCAACAAAGAAAACAAACATAATTAAAACACAATTATCTCTTATTCATGACATACAATATACATTGATGATTGTGAAAAAACAAGTAATCAAAATTATAAGCGTACAATCGCAAATCAAAAGTGCAATATTTTGTACTTGGGTTTACTTCCCTCGAAACGAAGCACCCGGGTGACCGAACCCAGTCAGAGTGGGTGGGTGTGCACTCAAGTGTAAGGTAGTCTTTTATTGGCTGGTTCATTTGCCGATACGCTGAGGGTTCATTGTGTATATATAGAGATGATCTGTTTGATTGGCATTTTAGAAGTATGGTGAGTAATAAGAAAGTAAGATTCTTTATGGATAACAACTTCTTATATTGTATAGGATGCGACGTTTCGGTATGGATTCATATACCGATGTCAAGCAAGAGTGACAATGGTATAAGAATTCATACCGAAACGTCGCATCATATAATGTATAATGTATATAGAGATGTTGGGTTTTGTAAATACATGCTCTCTGCATTTGCGTTCGATCCAATCAACAAATACTGAGATGGTGAACTACTGCATGGCTGAAAACTGTCGTACAAAGCAGGACTTGAAACTGACAATGTGAGTTTGCACCGTTTTCCGTCCGATCCAGTCATCTGAGAAAAATGGATACAGTTTGTTTGCAATCCACAGACATAATAACATGACATGTGTACAAGTATCACACCTGTCTGTCTGTGTAATTACATAATGTGACAGAGACAGAGCTCAGGTGCACGAGCTATCAATCAATGCATTTTGTTTATGGTGTATAGCCTGATACTTTTCAAGTTGCATGTGGTCAATGATTGAAGTTGTGTATTGCATATTGTCATTAGCAGACAGGCAGGCAGACACAAATGTGTCAATAAAACAGACATTGAGTTTTGTCTGTGACAGAGACTGCTTATCACAATCAACATATTTTTCTATGTTTCCATAGACATGTATTAAAACATTTCATTTTCAAGCTGAGCAATTTTTAACAAAGAAATTAGTATTTCTAATGCTACACTTTCTTGAAAACTTGGTTTGCAAATCTCCCAGCCCCGAAAAAGCAAGATGTAACAACATAAGAAAAAGTATGGGACCAGTGTTTTTCAATTACTGCAGACCAAAGATGTTTGTAATCACAAGAAACATCTTTAGTTCTCCAACTTACACCACAGCGATACTCCTTCCTGTGTTTTTACGAGTCGCCTTCCCGGTTCAAGCCGCGCGAACCTAATCACCGCGCATGCGCTATGGGCGAAGCGCAGGACAGCTATTAAAAAAACAACACTTTTCACCCCAGCGCTGGTGTGTGTGTGTGTGTGTGTGTGTTTCATCGGGTTATTTTTCAAGTTTATAAGTTGAATTTTTTGTTGTTGATAATTTGTTACTGTAAGTCCATTCCAAAAGGTATCAGAATCTGCAAAGTTGTGTTTTGTGTTGCATGTGACCTTTAAGGAAGGACAGGAAGTGGGTTTGATCTCATCAGTGTGAGGACGCATTTAACAAATGCAAAACTATGATTCTGTTCTGTGTCATTACGATCCTTCACTTCCATTACGGCTAGCGTGTGATGCCTCTTCATATGGTGTTGGGGCTGTGCTGTCACAGGTGATGAGTGATGGATCGGAGAGACCTATTTCATTTGCATCAAGAACATTGTCTGCAGCTTAAATAGGCTATTCTCAAATTCATCGAGAAGCATTGGGTATCATATTTGGTGTAAAACGCTTTCACCAGTACCTGTATATGGCAGGCACTTCACACTGACAACTGATCACAGGCCCTTGACGGCTCTTGCCGGCAATCACTGCAGCTCACATGCAGATGTGGGCCCTAATACTGAGTGCATATGACTATGCTATTGTGTACAGAGCGTCAGAGATGCATGCAAATGCGGATGTGTTGTCTAGGTTGCCTTTGAGTACAACTCTACAAAATGAGAACTTTCGAGATGATGTTGCGCTGTTCTACAACAGCCAATTTGAACAGCTGCCCCTGTCTTGAGCTGATGTGAGGAATGAAACTAGACATGATGTATTGTTGTCCCAAGCGTACACAGCTGTGATGAATGGATGGTCCAAAGAGCACGAAGATACTGCTCTAATGAAACATTTTTACACAAGGAGAAATGAACTCTCTGTGCATATGGGTTGCGTGATGTGGGGAATGAGAGTTTTCATTCCAATGAAGATGAGAGAACATGTATTACAAGAACTACACATGTTCCATTTTGGTGTAGTGAAGATGATGTCAGCAGCCAGAAGCTACATTTGGTGGCCTGGTATTGACAGAGTTATTGAGAATATTGCCAAGACATGCTCAACATGTCAAAGTAATCAGGCCAATCCATCGTCTGCACCAGTTTGGCCGTGGTTGTGGCCATCACGCCCTTGGCATCGCATCCATATGGACTTTTCTGGCCCCTTTATGGGTCACATGTTCCTATTGATTACATATGCATATTCCAAATGGCCAGAAATAGTCATCATGAAGTCTTAAACTTCAGAAGCTACAGTGAAAGAAGTGAGAAAATTGTTTGCCCAGTTTGGGTTGCCACATCAGTAAGTAATGGGCCACAATTTGTTTCAAGTGAGTTTGAAGCATTCCTTAAAAGTAATGGAGTCAGTCATGTTCTGTCCGCACCTTACCATCCAGCGACGAATGGTCAGGCTGAAAGATTAGTACAGTCCTTTAATCAGTCCATGAGAGCATCTGAAAATAGTGATGGAAATGTTGAAAAGAAAGTTGCTCAGTTCTTGTTAGCATATAGGGCTGCTCCGCACTGTGTCACAAGTGAGACACAAGCCAAAGCATTCTTGGGACGAGAATTTAGAACAAAACTGGATTTGTGGAAACCGGACATTCAATCTGCTATGTCAGAAAAGTTGAGTCAAAGTGGTGACATGTCAGAGACCAGACAAGTGGATGGTAAAGTGTGGGAGAGGGACTATCGTGGTGCAAATAGGTGGGTACCAGGACAAGTTAGTGCTCGGCATGGTGAGAGACATTATGATGTCGATGTTGGTTACGGACAATGTCTCAGACACATCGACCAGTTGCGATCCAGAGAGGAGCGCAATGTTAACGTTCCAGTTGAACCAGATTTACCTGAGAGTTGTGCAGCACCGAGGAGAGACTCTAATCATGCTAGTGTCTCATGTGGCGAGACAAGCTCACCTGCACCAGTGCTTCAGCCCACTCCAAGACACTCAAGAAGGACAATCCGTCCACCCGATAGACTAACTTGTACTTAGGGAACATCTATCAAAGTGGACTCTAAATAAGTTTTAGCTTTACCTTATAAGAACTGTTCATTTATTCAGTGGGTTTCCATCAGGTATTCTGTGTGTGTGTATGGGGTGGGTGTGTGTGTGGGTGGGGGGGGATGTTATGTTATGTCATCTATATCCACGCGTATGAGCGCTTGAGCATGTGATATGATGACTTCACGTGGTAATGTCATGGACGTGGTACATGTACCTCACTTTGAACTTGGTGATTAAACTGTGCAGAACTATGATGTTTCATGTGTTCATTCAAACGAGTGGAATCAGTACACAACACTTGATCACAACATCCATCTGTTGTTTGCCTTGTCCAGAGTTAATTATAGCTGGGATGTTTGTAGGCATTAACCAGTAATGAATCAGTTAAAATTTAGAAGGAATCCTTGGTCATTCTTGACAAATGGATGTAAAAAAGACTACATATTGTTTATAAGTCACTGTATACAATGTCTTGAGTTCTACTGTAAGGAACTGTGGTGTGTCAGAGCTGCATGGCACAGTTGTGGCAATGGCACTTGTATATTTGTATTCTGTTGGAAATAGTAAAAATGCCAGTCTGTACTTCATTGTGTTCTTCACATTCAGTGTTATCATTTTGCCTACCCGGTATGTAATCCTAATGGGTTCACAGTGGTGTGATGTATTTCTACACCTGAGATGATGTGAGTTCACAGTGGTGTGATGTATTTCTACACCTAAGATGATGTGAGTTCACAGTGGTGTGATGTATTTCTACACCTGAGATGATGTGAGTTCACAGTGGTGTGATGTATTTCTACACCTGAGATGATGTGAGTTCACAGTGGTGTGATGTATTTCTACACCTAAGAAAAATGTGAGTTCACAGTTGTGTGATGTATTTCTACACTTAAGATGATGTGAGTTCACATTGGGTTGATGTATTTCTACACCTAAGATGATGTGAGTTCACATTGGGTTGATGTATTTCTACACCTAAGAAAAATGTGAGTTCACAGTTGTGTGATGTATTTCTACACCTAAGATGATGCGAGTTCACATTGGGTTGATGTATTTCTACACCTAAGATCATGTGAGTTCACATCAGCTTCCTTACACAAATCCCAGTAACCAATACCCTGTGTCTCAGTGAAATCAAGGGAAACATGTCAGATGTGAAAACAAACGCAGCACTCAGGAAAAGAGTACTTGTTTGAGTACTTTAAACCAAGCCAATTTCAGGTTTTACTGTGTATAATTTTCTCACATTTTGAGAGATCCGTTCACCTACTCCTTGCATGCACTTGCTCATACCGAGCTTTAGAACATGCATGGGAAGAAGATTGTAGCAAAAACTAAGGAAAGAAGATAGATGTAATCCAATGATTTGCTACATTCAGCACAATCGTTTCGCATAACACTTTCAAACCCATTTACACCTTGTTCATCTGCAGGCTGCTGAAAAGGCCATCAAGTCCATGCTATACAATAAAGACTCCAGGCAAGCTGATGCGATGAGAACCCATGATTTATCCAGCCTATCTAGTGGTTTAGGTAACCCTTCCCTGACATCCCTGGCCTCCCAACTACAGAATGTTATACAGGACTTCAACCGCCTGCGCTACCCGGACAGACTTGCCTACCCCAGGATCCCAGCTGATGTATACACACAGGCCGATGCGTCACAAGCATGTGAGCTGGCTGGCAAGATTGTGTGTCTGGTGGAACAGTCTCTACACTAAGGTGAGCATTGGAAGCTGTAAATCTCAGTGTCATCTCTCTGTCAGTTTTATAACCTGGAAGACCCACACATACACGCACAGATGTCGTTGATGACCATGTATTATACAAATTGTTCTACCTTCATGATCTGAGACATGCAATGTCAGGTGTAAGGTTGTCTATTTATAGTGCAAGTGATGTACCCTTGAGCATAAGTCAAGCCGCATCCACTTTATTACATGTTATTGTATATGCTTTGAAAATTAATATCCATGTATCAAACTTGTAACCAGAGCATATTTACCTCTGTAGAACAAACTAAACTGAAATGAACTTTCACATGTAATCTGAGAGGATACACAACACAGAGTATCAACAATGAAAGTAGGTATGGTCACCATGACTATGGCACTAATCTGATTGTCATGCAGTTCCAAAAAGAAAAGGATTGATATGATTTTATGAACCACCACAAGCATATACATCAGTGCCTGGTGTAGCCACCCTTTGCCTGGATAACATCTGCCTGTCTCCTCCTCCTCATACTGCCAGTCAAGTGTTAAAGTCTCAGCCACAGAGTCCTTGCCATTCCCCATGGAGTGTCTGCATCAGTTACTGCAGATTTGGAATAGGGGGATCTCCAGCTCAAAACTCTCACTCAGAAAGTAGTATGTTATGGCACCCTCTCACTGAGACACTGGTTGTATGTTATGGCACCTTCTAACTGAGATGCTGGTTGTATGTTACAGCACCCTCTCACTGAGACACTGGTTGTATGTTATGGCACCCTCTCACTGAGACACTGGATGTATGTTATGGTACCCTCTCACTGAGACACAGGTTGTATGTTACAGCACCCTCTCACTGAGACACAGGTTGTATGTTATGGCACCCTCTCACTGAGACACTGGATGTATGTTATGGCACCCTCTCACTGGGACACAGGTTGTATGTTATGGCAACCTCTCACTGAGACACAGGTTGTATGTTATGGTACCCTCTCACTGAGACACAGGTTGTATGTTATGGCACCCTCTCACTGAGACACTGGCTGTATGTTATGGCACCCTCTCACTGAGACACAGGATGTATGTTATGGTACCCTCTCACTGAGACACAGGTTGTATGTTACAGCACCCTCTCACTGAGACACAGGTTGTATGTTATGGTACCCTCTCACTGAGACACAGGTTGTATGTTACAGCACCCTCTCACTGAGACACAGGTTGTATGTTACAGCACCCTCTCACTGAGACACTGGTTGTATGTTATGGCACCCTCTCACTGAGACACTGGATGTATGTTATGGTACCCTCTCACTGAGACACAGGTTGTATGTTACAGCACCCTCTCACTGAGACACAGGTTGTATGTTATGGCACCCTCTCACTGAAAACTGGATGTATGTTATGGTACCCTCTCACTGAGACACAGGTTGTATGTTACAGCACCCTCTCACTGAGACACTGGTTGTATGTTACAGCACCCTCTCACTGAGACACTGGATGTATGTTATGGTACCCTCTCACTGAGACACTGGATGTATGTTATGGTACCCTCTCACTGAGACACAGGTTGTATGTTACAGCACCCTCTCACTGAGACACTGGTTGTATGTTACAGCACCCTCTCACTGAGACACTGGTTGTATGTTACAGCACCCTCTCACTGAGACACAGGTTGTATGTTATGGCACCCTCTCACTGAAACACTGGATGTATGTTATGGCACCCTCACACTGAAACACAGGATGGATGTTATGGTACCCTCTCACTGAGACACAGGTTGTATGTTACAGCACCCTCTCACTGAGACACTGGATGTATGTTATGGCACCCTCTCACTGAGACACTGGTTGTATGTTACAGCACCCTCTCACTGAAACACTGGATGTATGTTATGGCACCCTCTCACTGAGACACAGGATGTATGTTACAGCACCCTCTCACTGAGACACTCGTATGTTATCGTACCCTCTCACTGAGACACAGGTTGTATGTTATGGCACCCTCACACTGAAACACAGGATGTATGTTATGGTACCCTCTCACTGAGACACAGGTTGTATGTTACAGCACCCTCTCACTAAAACACTGGATGTATGTTATGGCACCCTCTCACTGAGACACAGGATGTATGTTACAGCACCCTCTCACTGAGACACTGGATGTATGTTATGGCACCTCTCACTGAGACACACTGTATGTTATGGCACCCTCACACTGAAACACTGGATGTATGTTATGGCACCCTCTCACTGAGACACAGGATGTATGTTATGGCACCCTCACACTGAGACACTGGATGTATGTTATGGTACCCTCTCACTGAGACACAGGTTGTATGTTATGACACCCTCTCACTGAGACACAGGTTGTATGTCATGGCAACCTCTCACTGAAACACAGGTTGTATGTTATGGCACCCTCTCACTGAGACACTGGATGTATGTTATGGCACCCTCTCACTGAGACGCTGGATGTATGTTATGGCACCCTCTCACTGAGACACTGGCTGTATGTTACAGCACCCTCTCACTGAAACACTGGATGTATGTTACAGCACCCTCTCACTGAAACACTGGATGTATGTTATGGCACCCTCTCACTGAGACACTGGTTGTATGTTACAGCACCCTCTCACTGAGACACAGGTTGTATGTTACAGCACCCTCTCACTGAAACACTGGATGTATGTTATGGCACCCTCTCACTGAGACACTGGTTGTGTGTTACAGCACCCTCTCATTGAGACACAGGTTGTATGTTACAGCACCTTCTCACTGAGACACAGGTTGTATGTTACAGCACCCTCTCACTGAGACACTGGTTGTATGTTATGGCACCCTCTCACTGAAACACTGGATGTATGTTATGGCACCCTCTCACTGAGACACAGGATGTATGTTATGGCACCCTCACACTGAGACACTGGATGTATGTTATGGTACCCTCTCACTGAGACACAGGTTGTATGTCATGGCAACCTCTCACTGAAACACAGGTTGTATGTTATGGCACCCTCTCACTGAGACACAGGTTGTATGTCATGGCAACCTCTCACTGAAACACAGGTTGTATGTTATGGTACCCTCTCACTGAGACACAGGTTGTATGTTACAGCACCCTCTCACTGAGACACTGGATGTATGTTATGGCACCCTCTCACTGAGACACTGGATGTATGTTATGGCACCCTCTCACTGAGACACTGGCTGTATGTTACAGCACCCTCTCACTGAAACACTGGATGTATGTTATGGCACCCTCTCACTGAAACACTGGATGTATGTTATGGCACCCTCTCACTGAGACACAGGATGTATGTTACAGCACCCTCTCACTGAGACACTCGTATGTTATCGTACCCTCTCACTGAGACACAGGTTGTATGTTATGGCACCCTCACACTGAAACACAGGATGTATGTTATGGTACCCTCTCACTGAGACACAGGTTGTATGTTACAGCACCCTCTCACTAAAACACTGGATGTATGTTATGGCACCCTCTCACTGAGACACTGGTTGTATGTTACAGCACCCTCTCACTGAGACACTGGATGTATGTTATGGCACCCTCTCACTGAGACACAGGATGTATGTTATGGCACCCTCACACTGAAACACTGGATGTATGTTATGGCACCCTGTCACTGAGACACAGGATGTATGTTATGGCACCCTCACACTGAGACACTGGATGTATGTTATGGTACCCTCTCACTGAGACACAGGTTGTATGTTATGACACCCTCTCACTGAGACACAGGCTGTATGTCATGGCAACCTCTCACTGAAACACAGGTTGTATGTTATGGTACCCTCTCACTGAGACACAGGTTGTATGTTATGGCACCCTCTCACTGAGACACTGGATGTATGTTATGGCACCCTCTCACTGAGACACTGGATGTATGTTATGGCACCCTCTCACTGAGACACTGGCTGTATGTTACAGCACCCTCTCACTGAAACACTGGATGTATGTTATGGCACCCTCTCACTGACACACTGGATGTATGTTATGGCACCCTCTCACTGAGACACTGGTTGTATGTTACAGCACCCTCTCACTGAAACACTGGATGTATGTTATGGCACCCTCTCACTGAAACACTGGATGTATGTTATGGCACCCTCTCACTGAGACACTGGTTGTATGTTACAGCACCCTCTCACTGAGACACTGGATGTATGTTATGGCACCCTCTCACTGAGACACAGGATGTATGTTATGGCACCCTCACACTGAAACACTGGATGTATGTTATGGCACCCTCTCACTGAGACACTCGTATGTTATGGCGCCCTCTCACTGAGACACTGGTTGTATGTTATGGTACCCTCTCACTGAGACTCTGGTTGTATCTTATGGGAACCTCTCACTGAGACACTCGTATGTTATGGCGCCCTCTCACTGAGACACAGGTTGTATGTTATGGCACCCTCTCACTGAGACACAGGTTGTATGTCATGGCAACCTCTCACTGAAACACAGGTTGTATGTTATGGTACCCTCTCACTGAGACACAGGTTGTATGTTACAGCACCCTCTCACTGAAATACTGGATGTATGTTATGGCACCCTCTCACTGAGACACTGGTTGTTTGTTACAGCACCCTCTCACTGAGACACAGGTTGTATGTTATGGCACCCTCTCACTGAAACACTGGATGTATGTTATGGCACCCTCTCACTGAGACACTGGTTGTATGTTACAGCACCCTCTCACACTGAGACACAGGTTGTATGTTACAGCACCCTCTCACTGAAACACTGGATGTATGTTATGGCACCCTCTCACTGAGACACTGGTTGTGTGTTACAGCACCCTCTCATTGAGACACAGGTTGTATGTTACAGCACCTTCTCACTGAGACACAGGTTGTATGTTACAGCACCCTCTCACTGAGACACTGGTTGTATGTTATGGCACCCTCTCACTGAAACACTGGATGTATGTTATGGCACCCTCTCACTGAGACACAGGATGTATGTTATGGCACCCTCACACTGAGA